TTTGCAAACAGCTTATAATCAATTATAATCAGAAAATTATCATCGATTAATAGCACCCCTATCGAGTATAAACGATTACGATTATTAATTGATATTAATCAAAAATTCGTAAATTATAATCAAACTTTAACAACGATTTTCTCAATAACTAGTAATTAGAATTAGCTAAAATTTTTACTTAAGATAGTATCTATATTTTTCTATAATATATATAAATTTTATCCAAATTGGTCAAGTAGTTCTTGAGTAATCGCGTCTATATAATAGTTAGTTTTTTTAAAAAATTAACTATAATATAGAAGCGATTACTCAAGAACTACTTGACCAATTTAGATAAAATTTATATATATTATAGAGGAATATAGATATTATCTTTAGTAAAAATTTTAGCTAATTCTAATTACTAGTTATCAAGAAAATCATTGTTAAAGTTTGATTATAATTTACGAAATTTTTAATAATTGATATTAATCGATTAATGATTTATATCGATATTAATCGATATATATCTATAATCGAATATAATCGATAGTTTTTCTAATCGATTAGTAACCCCTCTATCGATTGTAATTGATTAAAATTCATCGATACTAATTGATTAACTTGATTATAATCGTTATTAATTCTCTCAAAAAATTTTCTGATATACTTTATAACAAATTACACAAGAGAATTTACCTCTAATGCAACTCACATTCTACACAGATGGCTCAGTAAAAAACATATTAACAAACTGCTATAAAATGAGTATAGGATGGATCCAAGTTCAAGATAATATAATTCTGCATAGCTTTTTAGCTAAAATTCAATTTTGGGTATCTTCATATAAAGCTGAACTTATTGCAATATTATCTGCAATATATACTTGCCTACGTTCTAGCAATATCACAATTTATACAGACTTTTAATTTATAATCTCCAAACTCAACAAACTAAATCAATCACCACCCTCAATCAACAAACAATATTCTTACAATCTGGCCTATATAGTATACTCTACAAAATCTTATCTATATATACAAACTCAAAATTGAGTTTAAAAAATTACAGCACATAGTGATAACTTGTTTAATAATACTGTTGATAAGCTAACCAAAAATTTAAACCAACTATATATACTTAGCCTTATACTAAACAATATCTACAACCTATCATTTTGCTTACAGTACCAATAATATATATTTGAGCAACCTATTCATAGATCAATTAAAAATATCTGCAATGCTCATATTATTGCGATATGGTCTTCTTAACACCATACAGAAAATATTATACCTATATCTCTACAGATTAATTAGAATGCAACATGGCTATATCTAAAAAATAACAACAAAAGAATATCATCTTATACAAACTTCGAACTTTGTCAAGAAAAAACCTTCAAAATTAAATTAATATTAGATATACTATTTATCATATCACACCTTCGTATACTATATTCAAATATATTCTTAGATATAAATTGTATAATATGTAAGAATCATAAAGAACACACTCACTGGTTAATATACCTAGGCTTATCAGACCTAAAGCTTACTATTACAAATTACTATACAAGAATTCTTTCACTTCTCAAAATTAGATATTACTACTATGCAACTCTATGAACTACACTATTCACTTAACAATCACTAATGCTTCTCACCAAACTGACAACAAGCAAGTGATATCAACCTATATACTACAATAAAAGAATATATTCTAATATCACTTATTCAAACTATTCATAAATATACAGATAATAATCAAATAGCTATAGACATTACAATCAAATTTCTATTGCTATTTTCACAAAAAATCTATAACTATTATTAGAAACTTTACTGCACAAAACTAGCAGAATGGAAACAACAAAACAATATATCAAGACAGCCTTCACAAAATTAACAAACAATAACCAACTTATTTGGTTCTAGTTTTCAATACTCCAAAACAACATATATATACAATTCAGTTTGAAATATTTCTATATTTAGTATTTTTGAATATAGTAATGATCTATATTGTACAATAGTCTAAAAGATTTTTAGAACTTATCAGTAAGTTTAAATTTGATTAAATAAAAATTTTATATAAATGAAAAGAATTTCTTAAGCTACAGAATTGTCTTACTGTCTTATCACTATATCGACTAGTACTCTAGATTTTGTTGGCTATTTAATTATAGTATTTTTTTCATAAATAATGCAATATACTTAAATTTTTTTAGTTAGAATATAAATTGTTGTATAAGTTTAATATATAACTTTTTAGAACACATTGTAGCTAAAAAAAAATTGAAATACAAAGTGTATTCTAAGCATATTATTATTGAAAAATATCTGGCTGATCTGATCTTGTAAATATTTAAGTAAAAATATACAGCTACATAGATATCAATTAAAAAGTATTCTAACTGAGCAACGTGTATTAGATTTTTAATTTATTTTAACTAATACAATAATGTTTAAATTTATAGTTTAGATCTGTTAAATTTGTAAGTGATATCTTGTGAAAAAATTATATAAAAATTTACAAGAGAGGTTTCAAAGTTAACAAATAAGTAATATATTTCAAAAATAAATTAGATTTTTTCAATAGTATTTTTATTATATTGAATTATAACTTGGAAAAATAAAATGAGATTTTCTGATTTTAACTTTAAAACTTCTAATAGTATATTATTTAGATAAGATATATTCGACAATTATACTAGATAGATTTCTGAGTATATGTACTATTGTCTTTGAAATATTATTTAATAATTACAGAACTGTATTTAATTAATCTTTAGAGATGAAACAAAATAATTCCTGATGCTATTAAATCGTTTGGAACTATTGAAGAAGAATAGTATTTGATTTTAAATTTAATAAAGGTGAAAAAAAAAATTGTTAGTATAACTTTTATTATTACAACTATAAAAATAGACAAAAATTATTTATTTATTTTATAAATTCAATTTAATTTTCTAGCTTTACTTCATCTTCAAGTCCATCTTGTTCATTATGAAGGTCTCTAATACTTTGTATGATCTCTTGTAATTGACTAAAATTTTTTTGCTTTAATCTACGATACTTTGAACTATCAGAAATATTAACTAAATTTAGTAATAAATTGATAATTGCTATAAGATCTTGTTTTAATATATTTGCTTCATCTATGGCAGCTGCTTCTTCTTGAGCAGTAATAGATATTAGCTGAAGTAAGTAATTTGATTTGCTTTTTTTAAAAGTTTTATCAATAAACCTTATTTATTTTTCATATATCAAATCATTAAAATTTTTTAGCTGCTCGCTAAGTAGAGACTCTTCTCCAAGGCTCCTAAATATGCAATCATTGCTTTGAAGATTCAAAAACTCAGTTTTTTGTAGTTGAATTCGAAATCACTATAACTCTACAGTGTAGTCTGAACGTGACCAACTTTTTGATGATTTATTATCAGTATACCTAATTATATTTTACAAGATATATATTTTATTTTTTTATTGTTTTAAAAAAAAATTTGTAAATATAAATTTTTATTTAAATGTATAGTTGTCAAATATATTTTACTAATCTTTATAAACTTTATATAGTGCATATAGTCTAAAACCAATATCACGTGATCTTTTATAACTATATAAACTAAAAAAAGTTATAACTAATAATATTAATATTATAATAAAATTTTTTT